AGGGAATGTGTAACACTATGGTAAACACAATATGTTATCATGACTTGAAGAAAATGCCCGAGATTCACATGTCTGATAAGGAATACTAAGGTTGATATTCATATATGTATTTGGATATATAATATCAAGGCCTTATAAGTTCCTGGAAATGTATATATGAGTGATAATTAATTCGTGTAAATTAAAAAGACGTATTATTATTCATAGCAGAAATATGTCCACAAAATGTTAATACATTGTACTTGACGTATATATATATATATATATATATTATATTAGACAGACAATGGACAATGGCACATTGCACATGACACGCACATCTTACCATCTTCCTGAATACCATCAACACTTTGATTGGACAGTTGTTTTACGACGTCAAGCAAATGTTTACGCTCTGTGTTCACATCTTCCCCTTCTGACTGACTAGCTTCAGATTCTGTGATGACAGTGATAGACTTCTGCCAGTCGCTGTATAGTTCTGGACTGTGCTTTTGAATTTCTTTTAAATCACCTTGACGAGCAACAGTGCAACCATCCATGACGACAACCTGTTTTATTTTTCAAATAATCACACAAGTGAGATTTTGCAATAGCTTTCGTTATCAAGATATATTTCTGTATACAAACAACTGTTTACTTATGCATGCTGTTGTCTGTATAGACCTACATAACAGTTTATATCATTTGACTTTCATATCCTCGCGGGATTGCAATGCATCATGGTTAGCAGGGGACACCATATCAAAGTTATAATTACCTGATCAGCGTGACATAAATACTGTAAATGATGTGTCACGACAATCACTGTTCGCTCTTCTTCCATCAAAAACTCAACTATTCCGCTTTCCATGAGATGGGCGCCTACATGGACGTCTAGGGAGGCTAGTGGATCATCCTGGGACGATAATAGATGCCCTTAAGTTACACAATCTTACGTGTATACTAACAGGTTGATTGCAATGACAAATACGATTATTCAACTCAGTTATATTTTGAAAAACTCCAGCGTCGTCTCTTACCACATTAATATTAGATACTTTTTCAAGTACATTTGACCTGAACAAGGGTAAAATTGTATTTACTTCACATCAGTATATGGGCTTGTTAACAATATACTATTGATATTAGATTCCAATATAACATTTCATTATACAACGTCATACTACAACGCTGATTAGCTTTGTCAAGATTGAAAGTACAAGAGCGTGAAATTAGACTGAAAGATATCATTGCAATACTCACTTGGAAGGAAAAAGATGTATAAGGTTTCATGCAATTTAGTACTTATGGAGATTAGCATTTAACGTCATCAGTCTATGCTACATACAAGTGATACGAACGTTATATTATATAAATATTAATACATACCAATATGACTATGTCTGTTCGGCTATACAAAGCTCGTGCTACACTTATTCGTTGTTTCTGACCTCCACTTAGATTTATGCCTTTCTCTCCAATTTCAGTGTTATCGCCGGCCATCAGAATATCTATGTCTGGCTGAAGTGAACAAACGTCCAATATTTGCTGATATCTAATGAGGGATTGCATACATACAATTAGATTCAATCTACATCATTTAAATCATTCATATAATTGACATATCGATCGTACTATCATTACTACTCCTAATATATCAACGTGAAGCGTAATACCTTTTATAGTCAAACGGTTCTCCAAACAGAATGTTTTCTCGCAGAGTTGCGTTCCTGACCCACGGCCGTTGGGAAACATAAGAAATACTGCACTTTGACCTGTCATAGATATAAAAAAAAAAAATTTCATATGAGCCTGTTGCTGCCACTAAAAAAATACGAACATCGTTCTGGAATGCGCTGCTGATGAAATTTGAATATGGAAACTGACGTGATGCTAATGTCACAGGGTGAGTGGTATGTGTAGGCATGTCGATTGTTACTTTAATCAAGGATACTAAAAAGCCAGTAACTGTGCTTTAATTGTCCATTGATATTCATCAACAATATCTATATAACATCACTATAACATATACCTGTTAAATTGCACTGTGCCTGCGACTAGAGACATCTCACCCAGCATGGCTGATAACAAAGAGGACTTACCACTGCCAACCAAACCAATAATCATTGTTAAACTTCCTGAAACACAACAACAATATTACATCCACTGGATACAGTTAATGACAAATAAACATACGTACAAAAACAAATGTGAACACAGAACCTACCTGTAGGTATATTAAGGTTAATATTTGTTAGCACCACTTCATCATCTTTGTCCCAAGCAAAACTGCCACTGTTTATCTAAAGTTATATAGATAAAAGAAGTCACTCATTTAAAATTGACGAAAGACGTTATTAAAACTCAAAGTGTCCAAATTATTAACAATTTCAAATCTTCTGCATAACGTACAGGATAGTTAGTAATGTCCATCCATAAAATTTGTCAACATCAATTTTAAAACAAGTTATTTTCACCACATAGTAAAAACAAAACGCTATAAACAAATTGCACATTGCCAGAATGCACAATTGTCATTTCATAAAATCGTTTTCATACAAATGTGTTTTTCAAGACGTTCAAACAGATAACTACTAAAAAACACATAACGTGTTGACTATAATCAGTTGTTTTTTTATGATTTAGAATACCTATATATGAATAATTCAATTGCCTCCCACCCCTATCACTCACCTGAATTGCGAGGTGATCTGGTAAATCTGTGACGGAAATGTCCGTAGATTCCGATTCAAAAGTACCATAGTATGAGGGCGTATCATGGATCAGATGAACGAGGTCGTCTCTCTCATGTTCAGATGAATGTCCGTTGTAAGCCACACTAAGTTGTTTTTCTTCTGACTAAAATATCATGAAAAAAAACGAATGTCAAACACAAAATGTATATTGAATTCAAACTGTTTCAACTTCGGATCTGTCAAACGCAATGAACATTCCCGATACTGAGATGAATTGCGTGTTAAATATTAATCTATGGGTGTAGATCTAAGTATACCTTAACTGCAAATGCATACTACGTGATTGGTGTTCATGTATAATGATTATTCATTAGAGAATTACATATCATAACTTACATTTCCGTCACTAGTTCCCATAATGTCGGAGACGTCATTGTACCCTTTGCTAAGTGACGGTCGACCATGAACATATTCACTGACTTCACACGCATCAAACAAGTTCTGAAATCGTCTGGTGCTGATGATAGCATTCACTGTTTCTGAAATAGCGAATGGTAGTTCTAGCAGGGGCATGGCGAGGTGATTGAATAAAGCCAAAGCAGAAAAGGCCAACTCTGGTGTCAGAGGCGACGGACCTATTTTAGAATAGATAGCAAACGTCTAAACCAATGAGAAAAAAAATAGAGGGAGTGAGATTATGTACACATATGAATCCTGCACAACTATAATATAAAACATAATAACATAAATTATCACTTATACGCCGTTAGCTCGCAATTTTAATTATCTTTTAAACCACATTCCATAGATTGCAATGGTGTTGTTAATGACAAAGTTGTTTATTGCATTAATGATGTCGATGAATCAGAATAAGGTAAAATTGAACACCGATAAAACTGAGATTATTGTTTTTGATAGACCACGTCAGCGACAACAAATGTAAAATACTCACTTCCAGGGTAGTATAACAAATATCGGTGTCACATTTGATAATCAGTTACCAATGAATGGTAAATTTAATAAAATAAGTAAATCTTGTTTTCCCGAATAAGATCGTTTCTTCTTATAGAATCAACCATGGAATTAATTCCCCCTACTTCATAACCAGAGCAAAAATAACTAAATTGCAACTCATTCAAAATTCTTTTGTAGTAGCAAATTTCTCTATATGATATCACTTTTTAGGAATCTGCATTAGCTTCCGGTCGAGGGTCGACAATATTTTAAATTATGACTTAATATATTTGTTTCTCGATTACTCAATGCCTCATAGTAATGTTATAACCTGTACCAGGTCCCACTTTATGAAACAGTTATAATTAAGATAAGCATAGAATTTAGAATTTATTGATTGTAAATGTTGCACTACTTTTATAGTAATGCTTTTAAAGAGCGCAATGTATAAATTAATGTATTATTATTATAATTGTTATTATTATTATTATTATTACTATTATTACTATTGTT